GAAAATTAGTTGGATGTATGTGGATGAGTTAATTTTTGGATTCTTGATTCTGTTCCATTGATCAATTTATCTTTCATTGTACCAGTACCAAGCTGTTTTAACCACTGTGGCCAAGTAATACACTTTTTGAAATCAGGGAGTGAGAAGTTTCCAACCTTATTCTTTCTCTTAAGCAGTGCTTTGCTTATCCTGGTTATTTTTCCTTTTCATATAAAGTCTAATAGTTTTTCCCATGTCTTTGAAGAATGTTGTTGGAATCTGGATTGGGATTGCATTATGTGTGTAAATTGCTTTGGGCAATTTACCAGGAGCATGGTACATTCTTCCACTTTCGTAACTCTATTTTGGTTTCTTATAATACTGTTTTGTAGTTTTCTTTGTATAGGTCCTTTGTTTCTCTGGTTACATTTATTCCTAGATATTTCATCCTTTGGGTAGCTATTAAAAATGGTATTGCTTTCCTAATGTTCTTTTCAGCACTGTCGTTATTGGCATAGAGATTCCAATTGATTTTTGTATGTTGATCTTATACCCTGCCACTTTGCTGAATCTTCCAATGAGGTCCAGTAGCTGTTTTACTGAGTCTTCAGGGTTTTCTATGTATTGGATCATATCATCTGTAAACAGAGAGCGTTTTAATTCCTCTTTGCCAATCGGGATGCCTTCAATTTCCTTGTCTTGCTGTATAGCTCTTGCAAGGACTTCCAGCACAAAAATCCTTTATTTCTATAGACACTATGAAGTTGCCAACTTTGCTGAACTCGACATAAGTAGACAAAGAACCTTCTTCTAGTTAAGACCCCCATCAAAAAATCATTTTTGGTTTATTTACAAATTTCTATCCAGTACCTCTGGACCGCAAAGTTGGTTTGAACCACAAGGTCTGTGGTTCGAATTCACCAGCTGCTCCTTGAAAACCTTATACAGGGCCACTATGAGTCAGAATTCACTTGATGGCACTAACAACAACAATAATCCAGTGTCTACCATATAATGCCTTCAATAAATATTTATGGGAGACGGGGAAGAAATGAAGGACACAGACAGGATGTATTCCAAACTCTTTTCCTCCCTCATCCTTACACGAATAAGAAATGAAAAGAGCTTTTTATAAACGAAGGGAATATCCAAGTTCTAACCATCTTGGTTACGTGGAGGACTAATGTGGGCTGGTGAGGTAATAAAGAACCAAGTAAAACCTGAAAGTGCCCTGGAAAAGGCAGCACTGTCCTAGGTTTTAGGGGGAAGGAGAAAGATTATTGTCGGTTTTGGTTATTCAAGATAGATTATTAATGAATGAGAATTGATAGAAATTTTGAACAAAACCTTGGGGCATAAATAAATAAGTACACTTGTCTTACATGCCACCTGTCCAAAGTATCCTTTTAGAGGCAAATGCAGTGGTAAACATCGAATATGATATATGTCAAAAGAAAACAGGTAAGGACAGAACCACTTTAAATAATGTGAAGGAATGACAGCCTTCAAAAATTTGGAAAATACACAGAAACTGGAGGTTGGACTGGCAGAGATATAACCAAGCAATGGAGAAAAACTTACTTTGACGGTGTATGAGTCCAACAATATGTCCCAACTCTATGCTGATGGGAAAACAACAGTAACAGTTTGGCAACTAAAGACTCAGCAAAAACAGGCCAACTTTGACAGGAGAGTCACTGACACAAACAATGCTAAGTTCTGCAAATGGCAGCTCTGATCATAAATTAAAGAACAAGTTTTATCTCGTAAAATTATGCTAAACAAATCTCTGTACCTTTATTTTAAAAAATAATTTTCAGTAGCATACTTACACATGAAGGTAGCAGAATATAATAAATGCTTATGATTAACTGGTATCTTAAAGTGATTACTGATCACTTCTCATAACTTGGAGGTTGCTGTATAATTTCATGAGAAAAATTTAAAAGTTTTTAACTGATGCCTAAATATATAAATCAAAACTTAAAATGGCATGCATAACTATTTACTAAAAATCAGAGATGCACTGAAGTCAATGAAATAGATATTAAATGGTAAATATTTAATGGGTAAATATTAAAATGTGAACCTCCCCTTCAGGCTGTTGACACTACCACTTCTACCCACATCATCAATAAGTTTTTCTTATAGTAGATTATGTTGCTATTGTTAAGTGCCAGTGAGTCAGTTCCGACTCATAGCAACACTGCATTGGGTTCTCAAGGAGCAGCTGGTGAGTTTGAACTGCCAACCTGTGGTTTGCAGTCCAGTGCTGATCCTACAGCTCCACACCATGAGTCTGGTAGATTATAGATATGGTAAAAAAATTTTCCCTTCCCCATTTTACCTAAACCATTTGTAAGACCCCTTCTACTCCCTCACTAACTTTGAGCTGGCCTATGACTTGCTTGGCCAATGGGATTTAGCAACATGATTATTAGAAAAAGCTTAAAGAAGAACCTGTCAATAGTTTTCTTCTTCAACAAAGGTTTCTTGCATAAGGAAACGTTATCCAAATCAAACTGTGTTTAGTGAAGTAACTGATTTATATTTTGAGGATAGCTCTTTATCTTGTTCTGGACTAGTAATAATCTCTTCAGATCAGTGGCCAGTACAACAAACCACATTTTGAGCAACAATGTTGCATCCGATTTGAAATAGAAAAAGCTTCTCAGGAAGCTTCCAATCTAAGGGAGGTGAGTCATATACATATATAACTCGAATACACACAGAATGCTTTGGATCAAAAGTACATGTTAAAAAGTGCTCTGAGTTCACTTACTTTCAACAGGTTACAAATGAGCCTGAAGAGTGGGGCTGGGATTTAAAGTAGGTAGATGCACACAGCAAAATGGAACAAGAAATGAATTACTTGGGGAGACTGAGAGTTCTAGTTAGACAGGTGAGGTTCAAGGTAAATAATGTCTGAATAGAATACAATCACACTATAGTACTCTCTCTGTCTTGCTGGGAATGCTTCTATGTTTTGTGTGGGTACGTAAATGAATGCTCAAAGCTGTACTTTAAGAAAAAAATCATTTCTGGAAATAATGTGAAGAATGGATTGGACAGAAATGAGTAAGGAAGGGGGAAAATGAGAAAGAGCTACAAAATAACTAAGTTATTGTCTGCAAAGTAAATTAGTACAAATGGAAGATGGAAGTCTCTACCCACCCCACCCCTTCACCCTGGCCCCGATTAGTGAACTACATTATTAAAAAAATATGAATTGTTCATGCAACATCCTGAATTCAGACCAATTTTGTAAAAAAAAAAAAAAAAGTTAGCAAAGCTGCTGTTTCATATAAATTAGATAAAACATTATAAATTAATTTTTCTTAGGTGACATCTTAATGGACTGATGCTTTTCTATCATGAACACTGGAGAAAAGTATAGCCTAATGGCTGCTGGTGTTGTTGTTATGTGCCATCGAGTCGGTTCTGACCCATAGCAACCCTGTGTGGGGTTTCTGAGGAATGGCTGGTGAGCTTGAACTATCGACCTTGCGGTTCAAACCAACTTTGCAGTCTAGGGCCTTAACCCACAGTGCCAAAGCAGGACTCAATTACCTTAATAATAATACAAATTGTTGTTGTTACTAATGCCATCAATTCAGTTCTGACTCATAGCAACCCTCTCTGGATAGGGTCTATTGAACTTGAACACTGACCTTATGGTTATCAGTCCAGTGATTATCAAACTACAGTACAACACCAGGACAAAAGTATACTATAAATTGCACATAAATGTTATAAACATAGAATCACAGTTTCTAAGCACTTACCATTTTCAGGCTGAGTTTTCTTAAGTGAATCAATGAGAGTACTGACTGCTTTTAAGACAAATATGATCTCTGTTACTTGTTGCCTAAAAAAAGAGAGGAGACATGATTTCCATCAAGATTTAAATTTCTACTATGTTTGTTAAATTTATTTAAAATAATATTTTATTATTGAGTTTTAAGTGAAAGTTTACATAGCGATTCAATACTCCTTTAACAATTTTTATACAAATTGCTCCACACCATTGGTTACATTTTTACAGTATGTCAGGATTCTCATTATTTCCATTCTGTCTGTTTGGTTTCCATTGATTTCGTTTCCCTTCCCCTCCTTCCCTTATGAGTAAATTGTTGATTGCATGATCTAATATAGTTAATTGCTTAACGGAGCATGTTACTCACAGGTGAAAGTGTTTATTTGCTAAGACAATCTATTATTTAGCTGAAAGCTTACCAGCAGAAATAGCTCCAATTGCCAGCTGTGTTTTTGTACAAATGTGCTGTTTGTTGTTGTTGTTAACTGCTGTTAAGTCAGTTCTGACTCGTAGCGACCAATGAGTGGCTAGTGGGTTTGAACCACCAACCTTGTGATTAGCAGTCCAGTGTGTATAACTACAATGTCACACCAGGACTCTGTGCTATGTTTTGTACAAATATACTTTAGAAAAACACTGAACACAATTCAAAGTGAATGCTAATTTTATATTATTAAAAAAGTAAAAAATCACTTTAACATGCACTTCACTGGGCAAACCAAATTTACACTTATTCTTACAAGCTATGACTTTTTAAAAAGGAGGTGTAATATACTTATGCAAATATAAACTTACTTCTAAGATATTCCACATACTTTAAATTAAAAGTACATACAATGTTTTCAAAACTTCTCTATAAAAGGGTTTGCTCTTTAAAAACTAGTACCAAAAATCTGTCAAAGCTTAGATGGAAACAGACTACTATTATCTCCTGGCACATATTTACCATACATGATTATGGCATTTACCTTTATAATACAATATGCTCTACAATCACTAATCCTACTCTGGCACTATTTGGAAACTACAGCAATGAGTACGTAAGTAAAGGATCCAGAGTAGCTTAACTCCATTCTGCCTACGAAGCTGTAAATCTGCATGGGAGCAGAAAGCCTCATCTTTATCCTGCTGTTAGGGTTTCCAATTACTGACTTTGTGGTTAGTATCCCAGTGCTTATCCTACAGCGCCACACCAGGGCTCAAGTTATGTTCTAGAAACTTAAAATACAGATGCTAAAAGTAGAAATGCAAATAGCTAATAAGCAGTAGCAATTAAAAAAAAAAAAGGCAAACTAATATATGACCATCTTTCATTCACTGAGCTACAAAAAGATAAAATAAATGAAGAACTTGTAAATCATTAAAAATGTTAAAAACTGAGGAAAGGAGCATTCATAAACTACTGGGAGAATAGAAATGGTACAAATCACTGGCAGGTAATTTGGTAATACATAACAAGTTATTTAAAAAGCTGTCAGCCACTATACTGAATGAAATTAGTCAATCACAATGGGACAAATATTGTGCGAGACCACTACTATAAAAACTAAAGAAAAGGGTTTCATGCAAAAAGAACTATTTTTTGACGGCTGCCAAGGGTGGGAGGGAGGAAGAGTAACTAATTGGCTAGAGGATTGTTGTTCTTAAGTGCTGTGAAGTTGGTTCTGACTCATAGCGATCCTGTATATGGTTTTCATTTTTTTGTGGCAGCAGAAAGTCTCATTTGTCTCTGAGGAGTGGTTGCTGGACTTGAACCGCTGACCTTGTAGTTCAGTCCAGTGCTTATCCTATGGAGTTGTTGTTAAGTGCCGTCGAGTCGGTTCTGATCCATAGCGACCCTAAACAGGGTTTCCGAGGCTGTAAATCTTTACGGGAGCAGAAAACCTCATCTTTCTCTTGATAACAGCTGGTAGTTTCCAACTGCTGACCTTGTGGTGTGCAGCCCGATTTATAACCAGTATGCTACCAGAGCTCCTATCCCATGGAGTAGATACATGTTAATTTGGGTGATGGGAAGCGCAATATTCAAGAAAAGGAAGGTTGGCAAAAGAATGATGAAGACACAAAGATATGCAAAGGTTAAATGGGATTGAAGTAAATAGTGTTATGTATGCAACCTTGCAACAACAGTGTTCTGTGGGTAGATACATGGACAGATACACAGGCTAAATGGGCATGGGAGGAAGAGTGGGAGTATACCCACAAATATCTAAGAGTTTGAAATAAGCTATTTATACATGAGTATTTATAACTCTGCTGCAAACACACCTAAGAATGTGGTGGAGCATACACCGAACAAATGATGAAACCTTCTTAGACATTATAAAACACCTTGAGGAAATGAGTTGCTGGGCCCGGTGGGTAAATACCATAGTCTCAGGGACACCATGGTCAATTGGCATAAAATAACCCACAGATACCTACTTTGACGAGTAGTGTCTGGGATTTTAAAAGCTGTTGAGTGGCCATTTAAGGTGCAACAACTGGTCTCTCCATGTGCGGAAGAAAGAAGAGTGATGAAAGTGGAAGATTCTTGGAATCAATTAGTCTAATGAAACACATGACTCTGAAATCAGAACTAGATGATGCCTGGCTACCAACTGTTCTCAAAAGTGATCACATTAGAAAGTCCAGGGTAGAGTGGGAGAAAAAGCAGAACAAAATTCAAAATGATAAAAAAACGATTGGGCTTACTGGTCAGAAGAGACTGGCCATCCTTCAGGTCTGAAATGGAACTCACCCTTTTGACCCATTTTCAACGAAGCAGCAGATAAGTATATGGGGGCAGGGGGTGAGACAACATCATGGAATGGTCAATCATTCAAGATCAAAATGACAAAATTTGCCTAAAAACAATGTTCAGAGGATTGGAACAGAAATAAGAACCACAGGGAGGAAGTGTGATGATGACTGTTGTTGCATGGAGGGTATTACAATCACTGAGAAGAAACAAAGTGTATGATTTGCTGAATGTAAAACTAATGATCTTGTCTATAAACTTTAACTCAATTTATAATAAAAAGTAAATAAATAAATAAATAAAATGAAAAATTGGACCCATCAATTCGTGACAGAAATTTATTATGACAATGTGTATAAAATCTGAGGCACTTGGTATGTGTAAACTGAGCATTCTGAAAGTGGAGCCTTAATTCCATATTAAGTCTTGACAAGAGTCTGGAATTGACAAGAGTTGAATTTTCAAAGTGCCTTTTCTAACAGCTGTTTTTCTCTGTTGTGTTCAACCTTTGCACTGAAATAGCCATAAGCCCTTAAGGAAATCCTTTTTCTCTGTGGTCAGGCAGATGTAGGCTGCCACAGCCTGTTTCCAGAGGGACTTTTCTCTGTGGTCAGGCAGATGTAGGATGTGATAGTCTATGCCCAAAAGGTTTTGATGCACAGCATTACTGACAAATCTTCTTTATATTAGACCCCCAGAAAAAGACAGTCTTAAGAAAGCAATTTTGATAAGATGTTCTCAGAAAAGCATGTTCTGTGACTGTTCTATTATCATCTGAAAAGCATATATACTTGCAATTTTGTACCCTTGACCAATCATGTAAACCCACATGTTGTGTTCACTAATCATTGTAAAGTCCTTGCATTTTTTGAACTGCCTTTGATTTTTACAAATTACTAATAAGCTAATCAGAGTATTTATTACATAGTTAGTTTCTCACCTATGTAAATACTTCCTGGATGTTTGTAATTCCTTGGAGACATAACCTCACTTTGTGGACTCTGCTTATCCCCCAGTTAAAATGATGCCTTGCCTTCATTAAAACTCTTTGCTTTCATAGAATACATGGCTTTACTCTTTGATAATAAGAATGTGCACAAAGATTTACAGGTAGTGATTTACCTCTTTAAAACAGCCCATGAGGTAGAAATCAGTAATGATTTTCCTATTTGGTGATTTTTTATATCTTTGTCATCAATATTATTTATTATACTTCATTTGGTTTGCTTTACACATTATTTTCCACATTAAAAAAAATTGTTTTTCCAACTAAATCCTAATTCATGATTGCATCCTTCTGGGGTTTGGATTAATTAGCCTTGGCTCAGTACAAAGGTCTGTTGTTGTTGTTAAGTGCCATTCCCACTCATTGGGATCCTCATTCAGAAGAGCAGCTGGTAGATTTGAACCACTGAGCCTGCAGCACCATATCAGGTTCTCTATTTTCTGGCATTGGCTTTTATAGATGAAAAGAAAATCCAGCTTAGGTGAAAGAACTTAGCAGAGCAGGTTAGATGAAAAGATTATTTAAGATATGGCTAACTGACTTAGAGCGATGTACTAAAATGGCCATGTAAAACCAACTAGGCTACTCTAATAGAGTAAGATTTATGTGTTATTTTCACTGTACAGAGATAATATTACAGGTTTATACAGACCTAACATCCTTATCCCAAAATCCATAGGAAAATATGTTTTAGAATTCTTTTTTAATTCAATTTTTTTAATAGAAAAAAACTTAATTTAAAGGTAACTTAGTGCATATATATTATTTAACAAGGAGCTTTGATAGCTCTGAGTTGGACAATTAACCTTAAGGTCAGCAGTTTAAAACTACCCCAGGTGAAAGATGGGGCTTTCTGTGCCCGTCAAGATTTACAGCCTTGGAAACCCTGTAAAGGGTTGCTATGGGTCAGAACCGACTCCACTGCACATAACCACTACCACCACCCTATTATTTAACATCCATGAAAGGATTAAGTATGTGATCCATAATAAAATGCAGCAAAATTTTATAAAGATTTACACTATATGGGAGAGATAAAATTATGAACAGTCTCAGAATAGTTCAGATTACTCATGAGAGCTCTTGAGTTTCAGAGTTTTTGTTATTAATTACCACATCAATGAATTTACTTCAATAAAATAAAAGACATACCTTGGAAGAGGGCATTTGCCACTTAATCTTTCATCCTCTATATAGCGACGTAATACATCTTGGGACCGCTTTAAAAGTACTGAAAGTGCCATTCGTGAGATGTAGCCTTCTTGAGGTGTTGTGACTTTATTACTGAAGGAAAACTGAAGCAATGTTTCAAAACACATTTTAGAAAACTCTTCTCTCAATCGAATATCAATCTCTGCTTCTGCAAAATTAATTTTTGGTGGTTAATAAGAGGCTACATCAATCTACCGTAATGATAACTCTTAGCAAACTAGGAATAAAAGGAAATTTCTCAAACTGATGAAAAATCTATAGTTAACAGTCTATATATGGAGAAGAAATGAACCCTCCACCAACACTCAAGATAAAAAAAAAAGAAGGCAAGACTGTCCACCCTTATTACTTCGAGTTACTATTATACTGTTGTCCTAGTGATTCTATAGGGCAAGAATAAGAAATAAGACATACAGAATATAAAAAGAATTAAGACTATTTTTATATACAGATAAGTAACTCTGACCCTTCTGAATTTACTCAAATTAAAAACTATATAACAGAGAATATTCTTTGCAAGGGTGTGCTGGAGCCTGTTTGTACTATATATATATGTATGTGTGTGTATATACATATATAGCTCGGGTAGCGTAGTGGTTACGAATCAGGCTGCTAACCTCAAGGTTGGCAGTTTGAAACTACCAGCCGTAGTTGATGCTTTCTGCTCCCGTAAAGATTTACAGCCTCAGAAACCCTGTTTAGGGTCACAATGAGTC